GATTGTAGATACCTGGGCGCAGTACGGCCCCGACCCCCCCGATGGGATCCGGACTAACAACCAGCAATGGATGGGGTACAGCATCATCAACGGACATGAGCATATCCCGCGCGTCACTATCCGCGCCGCCACGCCCTACAACTAGGCCCCTTACCACCAGTGCCCCGGCAATTGAATCCCGCAGTAGTGATTCTTTGTTCCCTCCCTCCCTGCGGCTGGCCCCCCCAACAAACCAGCCCTCCGACAAGGCCTGGGATGGCGAAAGTTCCATCAATGTCTGGGATCATGACTCGGGCGCATGCATACAAACGCTCAAGGGCCACAGCAGCTCAGTTTACTCAGTCACGTTCTCGCCAGATGGCCGACAGATTATTTCGGGCTCGGTTGACCGCACCATCAAGATCTGGGATCGCAACTCGGGCGCATGCATGCAAACGCTCAAGGGCCACGGCGGCTTGGTTCTCTCGGTCACATTCTCGCCGGATGGCCGGCAGATTATTTCGGGCTCGGTTGACCGCACCGTCAAGATCTGGGATCGCAACTCAGGCACATGCATGCAAACGCTCGAGGGCCACGGCGGCTCAGTTGGCTCGGTCACGTTCTCGCCGGATGGCCGGCAGATTATTTCGGGCTCGGACGATGACACCATCAAGATCTGGGATTGCAACTCGGGCACATGCATGCAAACGCTCGAGGGCCACGGCAACTCAGTTTGCTCGGTCGCGTTCTCGCCGGATGGCCGGCAGATTATTTCGGGCTCGGACGACAGCACCATCAAGATCTGGGATCGCGACTCGGGCGCATGCGCGCAAACACTCAAGGGCCACAGCAGCCCGGTTCGCTCGGTCGCGTTCTCGCCGGATGGCCGGCAGATTATTTCGGGCTCACTCGACAGCACCATCAAGGTCTGGGCTCGCGACTAAGATAGAGACAATCTTCATGATTTCTTTTTAGCTTTGCAGAAGAGGGTTCAAGGGTAGCAAGTTTATTTATAGGGCGGGACTGCGTAGCAAGCAAGAATTGCCGACTCACTGACCAATAATGCCATAGTATCTCAGCTCGCTTCTTGCAACCCCGCCATTTCCGCATGTACATAATATACAGAATACACACTATCTAGGAGCCCCAGAGTGTGGGCGATTTGGACTGATGACTTCCCTGGCCGGCACCCCCCGGTCCCGTGACCTCTCGTTCTCACAATTCATCACGGGTAAACCACGAAGCGGAAAACTATTAAACCGTCAAACCGGTGCCATGACGTATGCATGACTAGTCTCTTCCAGGGGTTCACCCCTGCGAGAGCGACTTCAGAGTCAAAGCCTGCTCGGGAGGAGGATCGATTAGGCACGGCCCATCCCTGGTGCAGCTAGCGCCTTATGTGGGTCAATTTGATTTGAGTGATCTCAACCCCGGCATGTCTCAGAGTATGGCGTGGGAAACACGTTGGATGATGAGCGGACCAACTATTTTCCGATAAACAGCCTTTGTGGGACAAGCGATACAGTCATGTACTAAATCACGTGATATTTACTGAACCGAACTTCCCATTTCTGCCTTACTGTCTAATTCCTGATTTCCGCCAAGTCCCAGGCAGCCGGGTGTTGGATGGTGGTGGATGGTCGCATTTAGTGCCGAGAAATAACCCGATGTGTTGGTTTGGTTGACACGGCTCTGCGCGTGTCGCGAGCATCACGCATGGCCAGGCTCAAGCCTTCGGAAGCCGGCGGTCCTTGGTCGGCGAAGCGTCGGAGCGAAACGGTCTCGATCGTTCCATTCCAACGGGTTCCATTAATTTCTCTAATGGACGTAGCAAACGTACCCATTGGTTCCGGAGGTGGTCTGGTTTTGGGCCGCAGGTTATGGGGAAATGAGGGGGGGGGGTAAAGGGGGGATCTAAAGGAGTTCGGCTTTCCGAGGCAACCAACGCACCTCGCGGAGTACGTGATGATGGGTCTCCGGCACGGTCAAGCTGACACAGGGTCCAGCTCACGTGGTAAAATTCTGGGGAATCAGAAAACGGCATTCCCGGCAGCGGCACAAATATTGCATTTCTCGGTTAAGGCTGTCGTCTTGATGCATGGCCATGTTTGAAGCAACTCAGGCGTGGAAAATTATGCTATAGAACACAAATCCAAACTCTATCAAATTATTATGTCGAGTTGAAGGAGAAAGAACAAAAATGTACACAGAGTGCTACATGCACACACAAAACACACATATCCTTCTTCACATCATATGTGCTCGACAGGACAAAAAGTTAAAGCCAAAAAGTGATGATAAGAGTGGGATTCGAACCCACGCCTCGTGAGAGACTAGCAATTCTGATGTGCTGAACACCTGAAGCTAGCGCCTTAGACCGCTCGGCCATCTTACCTGTTTGTTGTTATTGGACAGATTGTGATGAAGACTATACAGTGTAGGCCCCACCCGAAACAGGTCAACACGCAAACAAGGCAGTGAAATGGTGTGTACACCACGTCCCACGATTTTTGGCCGCTTTCTACTTATACCTAGCCTCACACCTTTTATCATAATACTTTTTGTTTGTCCCAAGGAACTGAAATTGGACCTTTAATCATGATTGACTTGCTAATGCGAATTGATGGGGGGGCAATGCGGGCTATTACACTACAGTTCGATCTTACGTAGACCACCATTGGCGTCGTCAAACAGGTATACCCACTCCTGTGCCCCTATGTAGCCCCTCATAAATCAAAGCGCGCTCGATGGAGAGACGGATTTACTATGTTGTGACCTCAAGGTTGATTAGTTCAAGGTCAAGATCACGTGGAGAGCTCATGGTCGCCGCAATAGAGATTGTACGAACCAAATTGGCTAATACTGGCTGGCAGTGTGGACGGCTGGCACATGGATGGTCTCTCAACGCTAGTTAAACAGTCCCAAGTTCCCAGCTACATACCTCCACGATCAATGCCAAAGAACGACCAAAAAAGAAAAGTAGAAAAAAGGAGAAGGCAGTTCTACCATTTGCAACTGCAAGTGCGGGCCATGCGGCAATTGCATCATCAACATGGCACAGGGTCCAAAAGAATTACAACCCTAATTCGATCCCGGGATTGCCTACCATTATGCAGCTCATGGTTGGATCAAACGACCAGCGTAGCACTCGCAGAGCTGCTGGCATTCGGTCTCCGACAACCCGTCTCTGCACCTAACCAATCCTTATCCTCGAGTCTCACCTCCGCCGATTAACCATCTCCCAGGAGAAAGCCCACTTCCCATGGCCCGAGAGCAGCCCAGCCGGCGGCGGCGGCTAAGCATCGCCATCTCGAACCTCGTCCGACGCCCATCGGCCACCCCCGCGCTAAACCCAGAATCCGTCTCGACCCCCCAGTCGACCCCCACCGACCTCCCGCGCGAGCCAGGCGCCCACCTATCCCTCCGCTCGCAGGCCCCCCACCTCTTCCCCGACCGCGCCTCCCTCTCCTCGTCCGCCCACCCCCAGCGCCAATCCCCCCTCTTCGCCGCCCTGCCCGCCGAGATCCGCCGCCTCATATACGGCTTCATGTGGCGCACGGGTGGCCACGAGCACGGGATACACCTCTGGTACGACCGGGCGAAGGGCTACTTGGTGAACGAACCCTGCATGCTGGCGCCAGCGGAGGGCCTCGGGGCCGCGGCGGAGGCGAACAGGGAGCTCGACGAGCAGTTCCGGCGCTTGGAGGCCCCGAATATCGCGCTTCGCGACCCGGATGGGCGGTGGGGCGCGTTGGAGAAGAGGGCTAGGAGGAATCATAGGCTGTGCCAGGATGAGGACGTCTACGGTCCGAGGAATGCAGCTCGCTGGCGGGGACAGGACTCGGCCGTGATATGGGTGCCATTTCTACCTGTTCTGCTCACATGCAAGAAGGTGTAAGTTCTTTCTCTTGACCCCACCCACCCGCCGTCCCGCCTCTGTCCGTATGTTGCGATAGTCCCGTGGCGATCTCAAAACAAAGTTTAAATCCCTACGCGCTCTTGCTCACCAGAAAACCGCCCCGCCCGCCCCCCCATAAAGCTACCTCGAGGCCATCGACACAATCTTCCAGGCCCTCCCCCCCGTCTTCTGTCTCAACGACCCCTCCTCAGCACACGCCTTCCTCGCCCAGGACCCCCACCCCTCCACCCGGTTCCTCCGCGCCATCACCCTCTACTCCGACCACCGGAGCACAAGGGACTTCGGCCCCGGGCCTCTGCACAGGCTGGTGACGGTACACGCCCTGCCCCTCGCGGACGACGGCCTCGACACCGCGCAGTGGGAATGCGTGCTGGCGGCTATGGCGCGCCTCCCCGCGCTGCGCGAGGTCCGCCTCACGCTACGCTTCGGCCCCACGGAAAAGCACGACCTGCGGCCGCTGGCGAGGTGGGCGGGGGCGGAGCTCGCGCGGAAGTTCACCGTCGACCTGTACCGCGCGGAGAACTGGCAGGTGCCGTGCAGCAATTGCGGTGGGGAGCGGGGGATGGTGGTCGTGCCCGGGGAGGAGACGGATCCGGGGGACGGGGAGGAGCCCTGTCCCGTTTTCGGAAAGGTCAATTGGTACGAGGAGCTGAGGTATACGGTCGAGAGAGACCAGTGGCCGGCCCCGATGGACATGGTGTGGAGTGTTGCGCCGGGGATGTGCTGGCATTGCACTCACCCTTGGGAGGCACAAACTTGAGGGCCCCGGAGCTCCATGGATCCCTATCCCCTGCACAGTCTGTCCATTTCATCCCTCCTACGCTGTCACGTTTGCTCACGTCGCCTGTGTTTACAAGTGCTTGACCGGTAACTACGCTAGTTACTTGCTGACACGCATCGATCTCGCCCCACTCGTCCCCGCACCAACGAACTTCGTGAACTCTCACGAAACTATCGCGGGCATCACAACAACACGGGGCATCATACCACCCACCACCTCACACCACCAACCCCCCGCAACACCTAACATCACGCGCCGCAACACCTTCAAACTGTCCTCTATATAGAATTCACCTCCTAGAAGTCCTAAATGAAGACGCAAGACAGCGTAGCTCAATGGTAGAGCGCAGCGCTGTTTAAATAGCGTCTGATTTCCAAAAAGCGGTTGATTTCCAGACAGCGCTTGAGACGTGGGTTCGAATCCCACCGTTGCCATCTTTTTTTCTTTGCCATTTTTGGCCGCCATTCAACCTTATATCCGACCCCTCTCCTACCGACTATTTGTGACTCTGTTTGCTATGTTTTATTCCAGCATGTCCTCTATTTTGTTCATCCAACTAGTATACAGCGCGAAAATCATTGGTACAGCGGTTGAAGAGACGTTCCCAGCAAGGAAATGAACTAGCTCGGGCGAAGCGGTATGTGTGTGCGTGATAAGGGGGGGAGGGGAAGGGTATCTTTAAAACAAGGGGGAACTGGAGAAGCCTAGCTACTCCCCCACCGCGGACTTCAACCCAGAATCATCCCCCTCCAGGACTGACAGCACACCGCCAACGAGGTGTAGGCTCCCCGTGACGAAGACCTGCAGCTGTTCCTTCTCCCTGACTTGTTGTACCGCCTCCTCTATGGAGGGCACGACGGCGACGTCCGTCGACGGGTCTAGGGCCCGCCAGGTCTCGGCTAGTTCGTTCTGGAGGGTTAGTTTCGCGAGGACGTCTGGATCGACGTTTACGTTGACGAGGTCTGGCCTCTAAGTTAGCCCTTTTTTTTCTCTCATTTATTCTCGTCATTCCGGGAGGAGATGGGAAAGATGTCTGCTGGGCATACCTGGCTTCGTAGAGGTGTCCTTGTTGGTCACGTTCGTGCAGAACACGGCGTGGTTTATCTGTATGTTGGAGGCGGAGAGGTGGCGGTGGACTCTGCGGAGCATGTCGACCGCGTCCCTTCCGGCCTGCTGGTTGAAGATGAGCGCGCACGGCGTGTCCCTGGTCCTTCGAGGTCAGCTCTACAACCACGCCTGATGTTGCCTGCCTGCCTGCCTGCCCGAGTAAACATAACGGGGAGACCATACCTTTCTTTTGAAACACGCCCGAACCACCGACACGCGACGTCCAGGCTCTCCTCCGTGTGCGCCCCGTCCAGATACCACGTCTGCCCCCCTGCGACGAGCGTCTCACACCGCCCCCTCCAATTCACCCCTTCAATCCCCTCCACCATCTCCCTCGGCAGCCTCTCCCCCTCGAGATCGACCTCGACCCCGAGCCTCCTCATCAGCGTCGCCGCAAGCTCCATCGCCATCGACGCGTTCCTCCTCTGGAACTCCTCGTCCGGCCTCACCGCCACGTTCCGCAAGCCAGGGTTCACGCCCACCTCTACCAGCGGCACGCCCACCTCCTCCGCCCTCGCCCTCAGGACCTCCATCGCCTCTGGGTCCTGCGGGGCCGTGAAGGCCGGGGCGCCTGCCTTCATCACGCCGGCCTTGTGCCACGCGATCTCGCGGAGCGTGGCACCCAGCTGGCCCACATGGTCGACGCCTAGAGACACGGTCCCCGTTGCGACGGGGCTCTCGAAGACATTGGTTGCGTCAAAGGCGCCGCCGACGCCGACCTCGTAGACGGCGGCGTCGACGCCCTCGGACATGAAGACGTGGAAGGAGAGGAGGGTCAGGAGGCGGAAGTAGCCCGGGGGCTGGACGTCACCGGCGCCGAGGCCGAGGGAGTCCCACACGTCGGAGAAGTAGCGTGCGAAGAGGGCCTCGGAGATGGGGGACTCGTCTAGGCGGATGCGCTCGCGGACGGAGGTGAGGTGCGGGGAGGTGTAGAGGCCGACGCGGGTCGGGGCGCGGTGGTGGGGGGAGAGGCGGTAGGCGTTGAGGATGGACGAGGTGAGGGCGGAGGTGGAGCCCTTGCCTTTTGTGCCGGAGATGTGGATGACGTTGAGGCGGTTGAGGTCGGCGGGCTGGGTGCGTTAGAATTGGGGAGGGAGAGTAGGGGGGTGTGCTGGGGGGATAAAGGTGTGAGGAGAGGGTGTGAGGAGAGGGTGTGAGATGAGATAAGAAGGCGGGAGGGAAACGGAAACTCACAGTGTACCCCAGTTGATGGAGCCATCCCTTCATCTGTGTTATATCCCTCTCATTAGGAATCACCCCCGCGCGCCGCCATGACTCGACCTGGCGGAAGCCGGCCTGTGACGAGTTGAGCAGGTTGATGACGTCCTGTGCAAGTTTTCATGTGTGAGCCATGGGTACTTATTTTTTTGTACAAGGATAGACACATCTGTTTTAATCACTTACATTATATGAGCGCTCAACTTTCGTATGGAGGGATCGCCGGGACAGCGAGAGGGCTGCGCGGGAGGATGTCGGTTTATACATGTCGTTGCGTGACGTGTGTGGAATGTGGGTGGGTGGTGTGTGAGCTGGGTCGATCGGTGTGGGTGATGTAACCACCCGTTTTGGTGGTCGGAGAAGGAAATTTATCGATTGCCCATGTGGGAGACACCCGCGACAACTACGCGTGATGGAATGAATCTGGCGTAGGTCGGAAATTGGATTTTGATAGCCTTCAAAAAAAAAATACAACAAGGGCATTTCTACGAGTCAGTCAGTCAGCTACTCAATAAACGTAGAAAAATAATAAATCTGGCGCGCAGTTCGCTGGATGTCATCCTGCCTGAATATTATAATGTAATCTTCCTGTGTGAACCTGTACATGTAGCCCACGACTTCCAATCTAGTACCTATATAATTTTCTCGTAATCCAGACCAAAAGTGTAGGCAAGCACGTCTCCCAATTACATGCAGAGATCCCATGTATCATTAGGACAATACTTGAGTGCTCAACCGACCCCATTACCAATGGTGCTCGCCATCTATGGTTGGGAAGGACCCTCTTGTCATGAGGGTCATGATGTATGGCAACTTCCGCCGAAAGTGCTTCTCTTTTGGCTTGACGTATGTATTGGTAGGACTTTTACACAGGAGGAGAAGGAATGCGGACTTCTTTTGGATCTCGCATGTTTCCGGGACCTTGTCAGTTCTCAGAGGCAGAAGCTTAGCTTACCTCTATACCTTGATCATTGGCAAGAGCCTCGGCGTTGGACCTTGGATCCGATGGTGGCTACAGGCGTCGATCCCACATGTCAACGGTACTTCTCACAGCCGCCGATTCCCATCACTCAAGGTGCTGGGGCGCGTTCCAGTTATCAGACTTTGCTGTCATGGGGGACTGACTACTACATGTACTGCTCACAGGGCAAATAATGGTTCTTGAATTTTTGGTTTGGTCCTAGGGGCTGGAAAGCCGTAATATTGACTTCACCGACGGTACAATTAAAACACTTTAATGCGCCAGTTAATACTGCATGGATTCAAGGAACGGAAGGTCCTTGTGAATTTCATCTTTCACGACATGTCCCCCATGATGGATGATTCCCATGTTTGTGATGAAGTGGGGTGATCACGTGATTATTAATCACATGATGTGGACTTGATCCCAGCTTTTCGCGACCCCGCATTGACATCACGACCATAACCCCTCGTGTCAGCCAAGGGCAGGCAGCCGGTTTCCCCCTTGCTGTCATCGTTATTATAACCAACTTTAGAGTCTTTTCGAGAAACCATTATTGAAACAACCTCCCCGGGGGGTCCACGCCCTGCAATCATGGCCGTAAAGACGTTGAGAGTCCTCGGTGAAGAAAGAGTAGGGAAGAAGACGCTCATCGGCAGTTTAATCTACAAAGTATTTCTCCCACCACCTCTGTCCTCGCACACCACTTCATCTTTGCTCTGTTTTTTTTTCTTTACTGACGTCTCTTAGTGCGGGCTTGAGCTACCGCAGCTGGAAAAGCTGGAGCGCAACGGCATCCGAGATCTCGATGCTATTGTACCGTTCTACGAGAAAGCAGGCATCACCCCTTGCTTCTATGCCCCGTCGGGGCAACTTGTGGTTGAAAGTATGTAAATTTTGTAAATCGCGGAGGGTTGAGTTCTATATATTAACTGTCTAATTTTTAGAAACTGCCACGCCCGATATCCTCCTTTGGGTCGTGGATGCCACCGACGCGGACAAAGGGAGCGTCTCAAGCCAGAAACTTGCGGCTGCATTGTCTGATGGCACCGTACAGCCTCGAGAGAAGCTGCTAATTCTAGTCAACAAGATGTTAGTCAAATCGACATGCAGTTCCTCGTCCTGTTTTTTTTTTTTTTCTCCATATAACTGTCTTTCTAATGCGTATACATAGGGACTTGATCAACTGGTCAGAAAGCACATTTAGGGAGATTGTGCATACATTCAATGCCGTGGGCGCGATACCGGAGAAGTAAGTTGTCTGATCATCCCAACCTCTAATGCTGCTTCAACTTACGCGGAATCTACTAGGACATATGTCATCCCAATCTCTGGCCTCCAAGGCGATAACATATTAGGATCGCCGGAACAACCATCCTGGGTTCGTGCGATATCTGCCCCTCAGTATGAAGAATCCCAGCTTGTCTCGGCCCAGGCTCTCATGCATCTGCTTGGATGAGGAAGAGCTTTATATACCCCCAGATGCATCCTCGAACTGCCCTTTCGTATCTCATATGGTTGATTTTGGGGGCTGATGGAATGCACGCCAACTGTTTTCGGTCCGTCTGTTACGCGACTAATGTCTGAGGATTTACTGGATGACCGCATGAGTGATGATGGAAGATAAGAGTTCGGTCGGTTTTACGGCATGTTAGAGGTTTTATCACACGGCATTCGCAGGTATCTCTACCTTTAAATTCTTGGACCGCAGAAACACTGCGTTGGTCGAAATGTGTTAATAACCATCGCCTCCTAGATTTGAAGATCCGTTAAGCCATTGTCCAACTTGACTCGCTCAAGTAGGGGCCTTTGTGTGGGAAAACAATGAACGAACAACAGGTCCTCGTAAGTATTCGTATTCCCCCACCTTTGCCAGACCCTGTGTCCAAAATAGATGCCTTCATACTAATGATTCTACTGGACGCCACGACCAACAGGGTACCTCATTTTAACCGCTTATACCTCAGAATGCATGTAAACTTGCATGGGAAGAGAAGTTTCTACTTGCAGGGCTCCTTTCTATATTTGGATCCTACCCGCCCGACCAACAATACTTTGTGCTCGGGAAGTGGGGCTTCCTTGCCGCCCGTTGCCCCGCCCGCTCCCGATTCATGCATCAGTTAGCGCCCGAGGGGTTTAAAGTTGAAT